TTTATTTTACATTACATTCAAGAGCAAAGAGTGTGGCTGATCCAAACCAGAAAGAAATTATACTAGTAGCAATATTGTACTGTATTTGTAGGTTTTCTTTGAATATTTCCATATTTCCAAAATACTCAGGCCTCTTTAAAATGTTACATTTCATAAGGTGTATACTTATAATTTGTTCATAATTTCTGATGGTAGCCATAATTGAAACACTAGTCTTTTCAAATTTTTAAATGCTGTTTATTTTTAATAATAATTATGACTATTACAAAATAGCTTTCTCTTTTGTTTTGAATATACAATAAACAAAAAAGATGTTTTTTGTAATCTGTTTACCAAGAGTGCCAATTTATCAAGAGGCATGGTTAGTGGATGTTAGAATTGATTACCATTTGCTCTGGCGTTCCGCTGAAGTTTTTCTGTGCCTCAGCAGCAGGGCAGGATTTGGAGATATGAAGCAGCAGTATTACCCATTTCCCTGAGGTGTTTTTTCTGTTTTCATTCTAGGGAGAATGTTTGAGGGCAGTGCATCCAAAATGCTGTCATCACTGGATATCGTAGGTGCCCTCAGTGAAGACACCCTTTTATGGCCTGGTAATGGAGTGGTGGGACCCCCCCCCAATGAACACATTGATGAAAGGCGCTATATAAATTGAATACAAAGTAGGTAATGGCACACAGTTACAAGCCAAAAACCGTTTACCCTGTCTATGCATTGATGCTGAAAATGTAGTTTCTGAAAACTTTCACCCTGGAAAAACTCCAGAGGAAGAAAAACCTTTGGAGGTCCAAGGTCAACTGGCTGCCAACCCCACTGGGCTATTAACGTCACTGAAAACGAGTTCACCATTCACTGTCAGGTTTGCTTTTGCCAGCATGTTAAGCTCAAGGTCTTACAAATTGATGGGATTTATAAACCTTAGCCAGTCACATGTGGACAAGGCCTTGCTATGGGGTCCTGTGGTGAAGCCCCAGTCTTGGTGAGAGCACAACACTTAGCTGCTAGTCACAGCTTGATGTGATCCTTTCCCAGTTGATAGGGACTCTGCTGTGGAAAGTTGAGGCTCCAGTCACAGCAGCTACATCACCAAGTCAGCCATTAGTTTTGCTGTGTTGGGGTGGTTGGTGTTGGATTGTTGGCCTAATCAAATGCCATGTGTGGTTTGCTCTGGTGGCAGAGTCAGTTTCTGCCAGTAGAGGGTTCCAAGGAGGATAGTCCCTGGGGGACAACCACTTGGCTTCAACTGGTTGCATCCTACAGCAGTCACCTTAGCCCTTACCTCAAATGCAGGTGAAGGTTCTGCTGTTGCTGCATTGATTTCAGTGCTGGCAGACAGCCTGGCCACATGGGTCATGTCTAGACAGCAAGTAGTTTTGGGGTAGGGTGCTGTGTTCTTGTGGCTGCTATACAAGTGTAGTCATCATAGCCATGAGAAGTTTTAAAATGACACAAGTCTGCCTAACTTATGCAGTTTCACATATTCACCCCCCTCCCACCCAAAGCTAATACTCCACACCCACTTTGTTACAGACAACAGGACAAGCAGAATGTAAAGTCACCACCTTTTATTAAGGCACAATTCCACAGAAACTGAGAACACATTCACCCACTAGGCACAGCTTTCCGTCACCACCGGCCAGCCATGTATCGGC